CTGTTTGGGAGGGATGGTTATATTGTGTATTTGGAATGAATTTTAGGTCTCTACGTCCATCCCATGGGGAATGGGAGCAGTAACAAAGGTGTTGCATTTATATTTTTGTTGAGTGTACATAAATTCTGCCTACCCTCTGCTGACTCAGTAGATGCAGACTTTCATAAATGCATCTGTGATGGATGTCCACGGCCAAATGACCGCTGTGGGGTTAATGTGTAGGTCGGCCAGTCTATCTCAAGTCTATCTTATACTCCATCATTCAGCACAATATTCATACAAAATCATTCATACAAAATGTATTAATATTTTTTAGTACTAATCATTATTTTTGACAATCGTCGCTATTAATATGTTTATGTGCCCATGTAAACACCGTTGGCTGACAGTTTCAGTGCAAATGAAACGCTGCAGCTGAGCAACAAGCTTTGAAACGAGACAAGCAAAAATCCCTCATTTGAACTTTGTCATAAAGTTTAGTTTATGACAAAGAAAATGATTGTTTTCATAACAGTCCGTCAATGAGTCCTGTACATGTGTTAAAATCAGGGTTGGACACATATTCGAGCAACATATATCTGTTAGACTGTCGCTTTCACAGCACAAAACCTTTGAACCAGAGTATTAAAATGAATCACAAAAGTGATATAATACGCAGTATTATTATTAAGCAGTAGCAATAATGCTATAATGAGTGGTGGCCCCATGATCGGAAGGTCGGGGGTTCGATTTCCCTGAATAGCTACCCTGAGGTACCCCTGAGCAAGGTACCGTCCCTACACACCGCTCCCCGGGCGCCCAATGGCTGCCCACTGCTTCACTGAGTGAGAGGAATTTCCCCACGGGGATCAATAAAGTATTTATTATTATTATTATTATTATTATTAATAATGAGTAATCCTAAAACTATAGACGATGTCAGAAACACAGCTGTGGCAGTGAGTAGAGCAGCACCACCTCCTGTTGTTGGAGTGAAAGGCCGATCCAAAGATACTCTGGCAGAGTCAAAATAAGCTTCGTGTTAAGTCCTGCAGGGGTTAAAACCCTGCAAAGGAAATGAGAACACTCTGGCTGTAATTACTAAACTCTAAATGCAACAGTTTTGTTAAACTAGTTGAATTAAAGTTGAGAGCGTGCACTTCACTCTCACTGCGATTGTTGGTAGTGTGCAGAGGCAAGACTACAAAAGCAGACTGTGCAGATACGTGTTAGGATGAATGGAGATGCATTCGAGTGTAGGAGAATATTAATGTCAGGAATTTTAAAGGCAGTGCCTCTGACAGACTCCTGTTTCTGTGACCTTTGACATGGGCAGAGCTGATTGCTGCAGACGAACTGATTCTTCACTCTCTATTATTCCCATTATGTAGCCTAGAAGCTGTGTCTTTAAGTATTGTGGCAGGCTGCCTGGCTCCCTTAAAGACGCTAAAGATTTCTCCAGTTGTGAGTGGGGTCTGCCAATATCAACCGAATAAATTCCTGAAAGGATTCATGAATAATATGAAGTGGGCTAAGAGAATTTTGAGTGCAGTCCTACAATTGCTTCCACATGATAGTTTTGAAGGACATGAGCGCTAAAGTTTGGTTATTTCATGGCAGTGTGATCTCTCAGTTTCACATGTAACCCTCTACTTAAGGAATAAAGCACTCACAGAATGCCTGCAGGACGCAGTTTACTGACATTGGGCTGCTCTCCAGCCATTATGCTTCTTAAAGTTTGAAACAAAGCACTTATTAGATCATTGAACAGTGAAACTGCCGTAAATTGGACTCAGGCTCCGTCTAACAATGAGGAGTCGTTATATGCAGTTTTGAACTTCAGCACGCTGAAAGTTTTCACCCTTATATAACAACCTTAGTTATGCTCATGTGACACATTTGCCCGTTTACACGATAACTAAAGTGGACACCAAACTAACAGGCACTACTGAAGCAGTGGTCAGAATCACAGTATCTTCATAACATCCCCTTCAACACCTGTTGCAGGCATCTAAATGCCTTCCTGGCATTCGTCTGCCAGTAACCAACACCAGCGAGACCCAAAGCTGTGATGTCGAGAATGTACTCGGATGGTTGTGTATTTTGTTCAGTGTCAAATGATATAAGCATTTAAAAAAATCAAAGCTATTCAATAGCTTTGATTTTCACAACAAGTCTGATTTTCACAACAGTCACAAAACTTTCATTTTTATGATAAAGGTTTTGTGATGCTACCTACCTACCTATTGATGTGAATTCTTTTTGTACACACGATAGCAAAACGAGCAAGACATGACATGAAAAAGGGACCAGTAGCTCATGTCACGTCAGTATTCATGCAAAGCCGGTTGCTGTGTCCACACGGCGTGATTGATAGTCAGAGCCAACCCCCTATCCTTAACTCATCCCAACCCTAAAGCTGGAGTTGCCACAGCTGACTTTGGTGAGGTTTGGTGATGACCAGTGGAAGAAATGCTTCAAATAAAGTCTCTTATGTATGAAAATGCTGCATTGTTACATTTTTCAGAGAAATCAGAGGTAGTTGATCAGAAAAATGTTCTGAAATTTGATGATTTGAGATGAATGACCCTACAGATTCTTTGAAATAACTCACACAAAGTCTCTTGTGAGCAGATGTTGAACTGAGCTGAGCTATCGGGAGCTATTGTGGTGAATTTCCAAACCGAGTGGGTGAATCCACTCAGCACGATTAGCTTAAATTCAGATGAACGTCTGGTGCACTTGATAAGAACACCACAGCTGTTCTGCAACAGTTCAGCATAATGCATTCATGTAAACTCATAGGACCACTAATAACTGTGCGCCTGGTATTTTCATGCAACCTTTCAATAAGATGAAGTTAGTATATCTCAGCTTGCAAGATGTTTCACAACAATAACCCCAAAATTGTATATAATGTACACTGTGTCTGTTTAAAAAACTAAATAAGGACATTACCACTCCTACCTTCTTCTTTCTGGTCCTGTCTTTCTTACATTTTGCTTCATCTCTGAAGCGACGTTATGTCAAAGTCTTTTGACTTCCTGGGAAACACAACTGCTGTCTTTAAATTGGTGCGCATATTGTGTGACAAACTGCACAATGTTTGTTAAGTTGTTAGAAACTTGCCACTTTAAAAGCATTAAGCTCTTTATCCTCACTCGTTCCTATAGTGTTAGCTAGATGCTGAAATACTGTGACCACAACGTACCTGTTCTATAAATGCGCTTCATCTCTGTTCTGTAAATATCGAGCTGTAAATATGATGTTTCCCCCTCTGTCATCTTTTCATAAACCATTTAGGTTTAATTGGATTTAATGTGGGTGTGGTGATTGGCACTGTTGCTAGCCGGCCATGTAGTTACCGGGGTTAGGTTAGCTGGTGACTCTAAATTGTCCGTAGGTATGAATGTGCCTGTGTCTGTCTGTCAGTGTGAGACTGGCCACCTTCCAGGGTGCCTCTCGCCTTCTGTTAGCTGGTACAGTGACCTTGAAATACGGGGGAATAATGACATTTCTCTTTTATGCATCATGTCGTCATAATCAAGTGATCAAGCCTCTGATCAAAGTTTCTTATAATTCTTCCCTCGTAAGGACAGTCTATGGCATGAAGTCAAGCTCAGCACACGCATGCACAAAGAAGCCATCGCGCACACCAGCGCCTGCTTTGCGACTGCTGCAGCTACTCCATGTTCTCGTAGCTCAGCTGAATCTGGCTTGAGTCAGTTTTGACAGACGTTCTTGGAGCTGTTTGCTTGGTTGCTAAATTTTAATGACTTGGGGTTATCTCTGTGCAGCTAACCAGCTGGTTAACCTTCGTTATGTCTGTTGTAGAGTGACGGGGAAATGCCACACAACTTGTCGGTTGTCACTGCTAAGGAGCTTGGAAAATATACTGCTAAACCATTTCCTGTACGATTTTTAATTTTAACTTACTAACTAGTCTCACACCGTTTGTCGTAGAGATGCTGTTCGAGCGGCTCTTTTGTGCGATGAATGCTTCTATTCAGATTTTAAAAATTTTGGACAGTTCCTAAAATATTCCAGGTAAGGTTGTGAATTCAAGTAGAGCATGGATGCTTTTAAGGATCAAGCATGGTAGAACTGTATGCTCTGTGGAATGACACCACAGTAATGTAAAAGCACACTGCGCCACTTTCTTAGGTACACTTGCAGGGTGCTTCAGATTGTGTGTGGGATTTTGTCTGAGGGTGTAGCTGGGTGCACTGGGATGTCTCCTGATAAACCTGCTACATAAGGAACATGTTGTCTGACTTTCTTCCCTGTGCATCTTTGCTGATTTGTTGAAGTTGTGAGTTTTACGAGTTGTTTGTCTTTTCTTTTCCGTATGGTTTAGCAGAAATGTTTTCTGCCTGACGTTGCAGGGTCCTGATTACCCCAAGTTTGTGTTCCACAGGGTGGTGGGACTCAAATATTAGGTAGTGTTCTGTGTGTGTGGGCTTCTGGTAAACTTCAGTCGTCTTCAGTGCACACAAACTGTACATCTTTGTGTCTTCCCTGGTGAACTTTATATGTCAAGAGTTGATGGGAGCAGTGAAGGATTTTACTTATTGGGTTTTTATTTTTGAAAACAGAACATCTTTCCCAGTGGTTAGGTGCTGTCTGCTTGAAGGAGCCAAGGGTGTCACTTTCCACTTCCTCCATGTAAAAGTTGGCTACAATGGGTTACAAAAGTGTGGTGGTGAGGCAGTGCTGTAACAAATCTGACTGGGGGTACAGCTGGGTCTGTTTTCTAGGGAACTGTCAGTTATCTGATGGTCTCCACTGCTTCAGGTATATAAGTGATGAGACCACATCACTATGGAAGGACACCATCTGGATTCAGCTCAAGTTTGCAGAGCGTCAGTCGAGTGTTTGATGTGATGGGGTGTGCTCTCCATGAGGGGATTTAAGATGTTGGTGATGTGCTTGGAAATGTTGCAGGTGGCTGAGTTAATCCTGCTAACAATAGGTCGACTTATGTTTAGATCTTCGCTATAGCATAAGGTGGTGGTCTGTGGGGCAGTCAATAGCTCCCCCCACCCTCAAGTTGTTGTAGACAGCTGATGACTTTTGTTTTTGTAGAGGCTTTTTTTATCTCATCTTCAGACTTCATAAGAATGGCTGTCACTGAGAACTGCAGTAGTTTCAGTGAGATGTTCAGTTGAGTGAACAACAGTAACCTTCAGTTTAACATTCCTCTGTTCTTTGTCTCACACAGAAGCTTGCAGCGCGACTACCAAAGACGCGGGATGTGAGAGAAGTTTCCCACAGCTGCCTGTGTCCCCCAGGTACGTTCCTCAGTTATTCCCTTATCCACCGGTTGCTTACTTTCTGATGGACTTGATTTCATTTGTCACCATTATTCAACATAAGAAACTGCAGCTTACTGTAGCTTCATAGTTGTTGTTTTGATATTGCTGTTATTGATACTTTTATTCTGCGTTGACAGTGGACATCCAGAATATGACGCTATAACATGTGCTTTCATTAGTTATTAAGAGAAGCTTTTGTTATTCAGCTTCATGGACGTAATGCTGATAACTAGCTGTAAGTAAAACGAGGAGCTGCAGAGTTTCCCAGCTGGGATACAACCTGGACAGGTCACTAGTGTATCGAAGGGCACCTGCAAGCATCACCTTAAATTACTAGTATAGCTCTATAAGAGGAGACAGTTATTTGTACAAAGGCTTAAATAACTGCCCACTGTCGAGGGTACAAGGGTAGTACTTTAGAGAGTGATTATCTTGCCTGAAAGTACATTAGCTACTTTATTTCCTGAGAGTGTGGATCTGAACTATTGCCTTGTTTTGAGTAAACAGTAAGGTCTGGTGTGTTTTACTGTGGTACAACTTGTTGTCCATCTGGAACTTTGGTCTTGTGTTCTTCAGCTTAATATGTGGTTGGTGCCACTCAGCACCAACCACATATCCACTACATCCAAATGGCTGCCATGATTTGATTATTTTCAGGGCCAACTGAGAGGCAGAACTCGGAGACCTAGATGAAAACAAACAAAAGCATATTCTTTAATCCCAAAGGGCTCAATTTTAGGCCCACTGCTCTTTTTACTGCATGTATTGCCTCTGGGTTCCATCCTTAGATGGCATCAGATCTCTTTTCATTGTTACACTGATGGCTGCCAAATGTATTTAGGATGGATCTCCATAAAACCTCTCTTGACATGTCTAGATGACATTAAAGCTTGGTTTTATTTTCATTAACATTTAAAAAGCTCAAAGCCAACAGAGGTGCTGGTGTTTGGACCCAGTGGTCCCTCTGAGTCCTCCTCTGCAGAACCTTGGGACTCCTGGAAGTTTATTTTAAACGGTGATTTTAAATTGGACAGCCAAATTAGAGCAGCAGTGAAGTCCAGTTTTTTATCATTTAAGCTGACTGGCAGCAGTGAAATCTTTTCTTTTGAGGCAGCACTTTGAAACAGTGATCCATGCTTTTATTTCTTCTTGTCTGGACGACTGTAACTCACTTTATGTGGGGCTCAGTCAGTTGCTCTCACGTCTGCAGCTGCACGACTGCAAACAGGAACCTGTAAAAGAGAGCATATAACCTGTGCTGGCCTCACTGGCTGCCTGTGTCTTTTAGAGTTCATTTTAAAAATCTTATGATTGTTCTTAAACACTTTCACAATCTTGCCCCACCGTACCTATCTGAGCTTCCTCATCCCTACATCTCTTCATCATGCTCCTGGAAGTACAAAGATCCAGGAGGAAGTTCAGAGGGGGCGGGCCTTTTCTATCGTGGCTCCTAAATAATGGAATAACTCGCCCTTGCATGTTAGAGAGGCCCCTTCACTGTCCACTTTTAAAACATGTCTTGAAACACATTTTTATTCTTTGGCTTTTGGCCTCAGTGAGACTTAGTTAATAAGTAATTTAATTACAAGAAAAAGAACTAATTAATTATGTTACTTTTTTCTTTAATTTGGCTTTTATTTATATCTTATGTATAAGTTAACTTATGTATAAGTGCCTTATAAATAAATATGATGATAATGATAATCCGAGTACAGTGTTTAAAATTAGTATTGCACACGTAAATATATTTCTAAAGTTAACCTGAAGTTCTCATCAGGTGTTGGTAACAACCCATCCAGTCCACACATGCAAAACATTAAACCATAGATGTCCATAAATTAGGTGATGTGTAATAATGAAATATGACGCACAGGAGAAGTATTAAACACAGTTACTGAAATGTATGTAATACCTACAGAAACCAAACACATGGTGAGTGAAGAGCGGTGAGAGGAGAATTACTCCATCATGGGAAGGCCTCAGCAAAACAAGCTGATTTTAACATAACCAAGGGTGGGTCAGAAGTAAGCCAGCAGACTGAGAGCAAAGTGCTTCATTGGGGTGCACTATAAAGGTGTTTAGGATAGCTAGGCATGATTATTCAAGACCTCATATGTGAAAAGAAGGACTTAAAATTAGATTCTGCATTTCACAAGGAGCCAATGAAGGCCAGCAGATATCGTCAGACACATTGCTAATGGCTAAATAAGCCTTTTATCCAGAGTCTGAATGTTCAGTGAGAGTCTGGTTTACTCTCCAGGGGAAAATGATCAAGGAAAATTTGCATATTTGAACATAAGAGTGTCTATTAATAACAATCAAGGATAAAAACAACAAAACGGGGAAGGAATTCTGTTTACCGTACTGTTTACAGCTGAGACAAATAATGACCTCATCAGCGTGTCAGAGCACAGTTTAGATAATGACAAGCCCACAAACAGACTCTCCTCACTTATCTTTCTATTTCAGGTTCATTTTTCTGTCTTTAACACCTAATGTGTCATATTTGATACCTGCGCTTTTGTCCGTTTTTGAGACTTCTGCATCATTAGTGTGATCGGCAGTCTGATTTGCTTGATAAATAAAACTATATACGATACGTGCCGCCTCCTTGAGAGGCTCCTTTTAGACAATGAAGAGTAGAAGTTACAGAATCCAACGCGATAATGATAAAGCATTGGTATGTCACAAGTGTTGGATTCTGTCTTTTTTGTTGTACTCTGTAATTAGTTTTGCAGTAAATTTAGTGTTTCCTATACATAGATCATACCTGGGAGAGCTGTGGCTCAGGTGGTAGAGCGGGTTGTCTACTAAGCGGAAGGTTGATTCCTTAGTCTCCTGTCCAGATACCAGAGTATCGTTGGGCGAGATGGTGAAACCTAAGTTACCCCCAGTGTTCCATCGGCGTGTGAGGTTGTGGGACTTAGAAAACCTTTAGGCATACATACATGTAATAGCTGTATGGATGTCTGTGTGATTGAGAGCTGTTAGAACAGTCGTAGAACAGTCCCTTCTTTCTTATTTTGAAACTGTGAGACAGTCAGAGCACCAACCAGAAACTGAAGCTGGTCCAGAGCTGGTGTCCCAGTGCTGTGGCTCGCTGCAGTCCAGAACAGTTTAGTTGGAGTTCATCTGTGGGATTAGGAACTTATTATTTATCCATTAGTGTTTTTCCTCAAGTGTATATTATATTATATTATATTATATTATCATTTATTTATGTAAAAGTTGATTGGGGATTTTTGTTGTCCTTATTAGTAGTATTGGCAACTTTTAATTATTAATAAAAGGCTTTTATTCTGAACATAAAGCTTTCTCCTGACTTTTGGGAACATTGTGATCACTTACAGGTGAAATAATAACACTCATTAACTCTTCATTGTGGCACCTGTTGAAGGTAATATAATAGAGAAGCAGAGAAATGGGCAGGCCTAAGGATCTGAGTGAGTTTGAAAGGCCAGATTGTGATGAATGGGTGAATGAGGAAAGTGCTTTGAGTCAAAAGTGCAAAAGGATGCACAGTGGGACCGAGGCAATGTGATGTTTTGGGCTACGTTCTGCTGGGAACCCTTGGGTCCTGCCATTACTATTGATGTTAGTTTGATACGTATCATCTACCTGATATTTGTTGCAGACCATGTACACCCTTGAATAACAATGGTTTTACCTGATGGCCGTTGATAATGTGCTCCACCACAAAGCAAAACTGGCCAAGGATTGTTTCGACAAGCACAGCGATGAGTTTGAGGTGTTGCCCTTGAAACTTTCCAGATTTCGATCACATTGCGCATCAGTAGGATGTGTGAGACACAAGCCTGATCCACTGAGGCCCCACCTTGCACCTTACAGGACTGTACAGCTGTTCTGGTAGTAGGTGGTCATAATGTTATGCCTGACAAAGTAATTCAAATTCAACAGTCGTTCAACTGAACAAACTGAATAGAGTTCAAAAGTCCAAAAAGCAGGGACCACCGAGTCATTACACCTTGCTTCTTTTATTTGTTGTTCTTTCAGGAAAATATGCTACATTGTTATGTAATGATATTGAGCTACAGGCAAAGTAAATATACATTGTGCCGCTTGAAATAAGCTTGTAAAGGTCTGTTTAGCAACGATCAGAGGAAGTTTACATCATTATCACATAAACACAACTTGATGACTGCTTGTGTTTCTATATTTGTGAATGAAATCAAGTCATTGTTATGTTTCAGGACAAATAATACACTTTGTATATGTTACACAAGGTTTTCAGCAAGAACAGCCAATTGGGTAAAAAGTTAATCAAGAACTGAATGAACTTTGGCATCAGTTAGACAAGCTGACACAAAAGTGACGATAGCAGTGTACCCCAAAGACGATCACTATTATTATTATTATTATTATTATTATCATTAACTCCTTTATTTAAACAAGCTCGTGGAGATGAAAATCTCGTTTTCAAGAGAGACAAAAAACAAAAATCAACAGATGACTACATTAAAAAAACAAGCACCCCTTACACATGACGGCAAAGTAAGAAAAACCATGAAGAGATACTAAAATGTATATTTATTACACGGAAACTATAACACAAGGCTTTGGAATATTTGGCGTGTCACAAACTGTAAACTCTCGTCTTCTGAATGAAGGTCTGCCTACGATGGACACCTTAATTGTTTCCCTTCCTGGTTATATATCAATCAATCAATCAATCAAAATTTATTTATATAGCACATTTTTAAGACCGAAGTACACGAAAGTGCTTTCCAGTAAAATCGCAGTACAAATAAAATCACAATAAAATATAAATTACAAATATATAAAATATAAGATAATTACATAATCTAAATACAGAGCCAGATGTAAATTACCCTAATTCGC